AACACTGTTGTCCAAAATATTTAAGTGGAGGCTCAATAGGGCAACAGATGCCAACTGTGCAATGAGATGATGGAGCTCTCCTGGCATGTGCCCCATTCAATCAGTGGCCATTTGAGTCAAGATGATGACTGTTACTCAACCAGGGAAAGAACGTTGTACAAGGATGTGTCCAGTAACACCTGAAAAAGTACTTACACCAGTAATTCCAGTTATGCCACTGTAAATCACCAAAAGGAGTCTGGCCAAGCAAATTTGATTAAACTTTTGAGGACTATAGCCCCCTTCATCTAATGTGTAATCCAAGAAGCCTAAACTCTGCCCACACCTGCCTTAAAAAAATACTGGGGGAGAAGGCAAAGATAATTTGAACTTTGTCCCATGGATGACTAGTTGGAATGGAATCCACTGAAGAGTATACTTTGATCCAGAGGCTAAGGTGAGTGTGATGCATATATCCTCAGAATTCATACCAAATAAATGCTGAAAACACAGAGCCTCCCTCTCATGCAGCTGACAACCAGACAATATTCATCTTGCCAACACCATTCACAACAGCGGAGCAAATGTTCTTGGGTAATTTCCTAACATTAGAGCCCCCTAGTTAATCAGGTGTAACATGAAGCTTTGACATGATTTACAGCATGCTGGTAGCTTGTACTGTAAGGGCTTTGTACTGCTCCATGTATTGTATAATAGTGTTAAGCTGTCCCTGGACAAGACTCCATTGTAAACAAGCTATCTAGCTCAACTGGGATATCCTGTAAAAATATTATAATGAAAACAGATTCTGACATCACTCTAAAGAGCCAGTGTTCTCTCTGTTCAGGTCTCCAAAAACCACCCGGCTACCGTCTGTAAAGAACATTAAATACATTCATTTAACCCTGATGGTGCTGAATGAATTGTTTGCCCAGAAAATTTAATTTCTTACTGGTTGGCTCTTCAGCCTCTCAGCCACAAATGTATGCGATGCTTTAGTTCTGATTCCCCAGCAATTTGCTCTGGAATTTCTAGCAATTTCAGGATGTCTGGGAAGACCTGTAGACACACAGTCAAAGTTGTGAGGTTGCAGACAAAGCCACTGTACTGAAAACAACAATGGTGAGGAGGTTAACTTGCTATGAGCTAGCAATAAATTGTGGGAGTACAACAAGCATTGTTCTAAAGTTATTAATTTACAAAGGATGGCTGTCTCACTTCCACAACCATTGTGCTGCTCTTTGGCTTGTTTGCTGGCTAAAAGTCACAATATAATCAATTGAGTCAGTTATATAACATCTTTACCAGGACTGACTTTTATATTGTGCTTTTGGGTTACTCAGAACTCAATCTCAGATTTGATATTCAAGTAAAAAGCTTTTAAAAAGAACACACTGATATCATAGAATCAGAGAATCACAGCATCATAGAGTTGGAAGAGGCCACAAGGGCCATCCAGTCCAACCCC